ACTAATCATAAAACCTGAATAATTCAGGTAAATTGAGTAGGTCTCTGTTTCCTGAAACCAGAAAGAATCTAAGAACACACATATGGGAGGTGATTTAAATCATGGGAATGAAATAGAGCAAGAGAAGAGAGTTGAAGATCTCCTAGGCCAGTGCTATCTTACACTATCTGTGAAGGAACGAACTTTCCTTTCTTTTAATTTCCAATTTTTCATGAAAAATAAACTTACGGAAAATAACATTTTGAAAAGTACTAGAAAAATCAAATGAAAACAAAAAAGGCACACCAAACACAAGCTCACGCTTTAAGTATTTTAAACAGACACAAAATTACATTTCAAAAACCAGAATTAAAACAAAAAATAACATAGAATAAAAGAAAAAAGTACAGAAACTGCACTTTGTTCACTGAAGTGTACATGTAGGTGATTAATATAGAGAATTGCTAATACACCTTTAATTTTCTATCATTCCATGGTCATAACAACTAAACAAAAGGTTGGTAGTGAATTGGCAATTTCTCATATTAAATACTATGACAGTATTTAATATTTTAAGTTTGTCAATATTTAAAGTTTTTAACATGACAAATGAACGTGCTTCTTGCTTGTTAAATCCTCTAATCTAGGTTGGATTGCTGACAATGCCACTAGCAGGAGATAATGTATATCTAAACTGTTTCTATGTTATATTTGAGAACACTAATAGCAGAGAAATCAGTCTCTCAAAGGTATGTTTAAGGTATGTTTAAGGAAATGGAAGAAGAGATTTTATTTCATTTATTTATTTATTTATTTATTTTGGCCATGCAGCTTGCGGGATCTTAGTTCCCCGACCAGGGATTGAACCCAGGCCCCAGCAGTGAGAGCGCCGAGTCCTAACCACTGGACTGCCAAGGAATTCCCTGCAAGAAGAGATTTTAAAACAATTTCAGCAAGTTCAGATATTCACTTTTAATTTTTATCTCAAATGAAGCAAATGATGCTTTATTTTCAAAATTCACCTTCAATTCTTCATCAGTAGCCCATTCCAAAGATTTATCCTATTAAGTTATAGTTACATTTAAATTATCTTTCAATGAAAGAAATAGATTCTGGATCCATGAATTCCCTATGTGTGTTTATTTTCATGGAAAATAAAAATTCAAAATGTTTTATCACATTCATAGTTTCTTTATATTTTATATGTAAATGCCATTGAAATTTGATGGCTTTATTGCTTCATTAGTCAGTTCATGATTTTAGTACTTTACTATGAGTTATGGCTGTGAGCTCAGTAGATGGGGGATTATTTCTGAGTAAAATTCGTACAAACACTCAGATCTTTAACTCTTGGAATCACTTCTCTGGTTATTTGGTTTACTACTATTATTACTAACCCACTACTGATGTGTCTTTTCTTGATGAAACAGGACAGTGAGGCTTATTTCACCACCTACAATTTAGGGTTAAAAACAAATGACACAAATTTTACTTCCCAAGTTTAGCTATGAATTTCAAAAAACGGGCTTGATTAAAAATTAAAATGAATGTAAAAATAACAAGTTATAAAAGTAAATAAATATTTACAATTTCAAGATTTGTATTCACTTTTGGGTTACAGTTGACAAACTAACCTTAAAAATTTCACTCCTTCACTAATGTGGTCCTACGGCACATGACAAGGACACAATCATGCCACTGACCTGCAACTCACCACGCGGGTTGGAGAACATCTGAACCACTCTATTCTCCGTTTAATGAGGGGCGTCCAATGATCACATGGTTGGATATTGCTGAAATGTGAAACTCCTATAAATGCTGCTAAGCATTTACTCTTAACCTCTGTACTTATCTCCTTGTGGACTAAACACGAGCAGTTTACAGACTGGCACTGGTCCAAGGACCACACTTTGAATAGCACTGCTGGGAGAACTAGTGGAGGAGCTTATGAAGTAACAGAAGAGAGGAGGTGAATAAGGAGATCATGGATTTGTGGAAGACTAGGGAAGTTTTAAGAAAGAGGAAGTGGTTAACTGTGTTAACTGCAAGAAAGGTCAAGTAGGTCGAGGACCAAAAAGAAGCCATGAGTTGACAATTAGGACACTGGTAACCTTTGAAAGAGTGGTTTCAGTGGAGTGCTGGTGGTGGCAGTCAAAGAGAGGCAGGCTGAGGAGTTGGGAGAGTGAGAGCACAAATGGGGACTATCCTTTCAAGAAGCTAGATGGGAAAGAAACGGAAACAGTGTGGTAGCTTACAAAAAAAGTCGAAGGAAGACTTCTTAGACTAGGGGAAACTAAAAAAAAAAATTCTGATATCATTGAAGGGGCCTCAAACTGAAGAGAGTTCTATCTCCAGGTAGAAAATCTAAGAAAGACTTTTTGTTTCTGTTTTACAGTAATCTTACAAGTACTATGCAGGTAGAGGAAGATCAGGGGAAACTTCTGTGAAGAATCTGCAGAATTTCTAACACTTCTTTGGTGGTGCAACAGAAAGCTGTGGGGGAATATAAGGATGTTGATTGACTCAGTTCCTTCTGAGTTTGGTATGAGAACTTTATAGTAGGGAACATAGTTAAAGTAATCCATGGTAAAGATACACATCCTTTTGCAAATTGAGAAATCTCTCTTGAGCTATCATAATTATAGTAAACCCAGGTGTCGATAAGTTGGGTTTAACAAAGCAAGTCATATCTATATATGAAGAGAGTTTACTTCAGTTCCTAGAACTTTCCTCTGCTTTCCTTCCCTGCAAACAAGCAGTTACTGTGTGCCCAACACCGTGGTAGGTACTAAGGGCAACCTCAATGATGGGTGTCTATCCTGAAGGGGTTCACTGGAGCAATATTATCAGTTATGATGCTTTTTGGTGGAAACAACTGAAAACCCCAGCTCTGTTAAGGTCAGCTCCAGGGTCGGTCAAATCAGAGGCTCAGTTATGTCACCAAGGACCCAGATTTTCTGATTTTCCTACTGTGCCATCCTTAGTATTTCTGCCTCATCCTCAGGTCAGCTTGTCTTAAGTCACAATGGCTGCAGCAACTGCAAGTGTCACATCCTCCAAATAGTTAAGGGGTAGAAGAACTATGTCATCCTTGTATCTCTTTTCAGCAGGCTCTCAGCAGCCTCTCTTTGATCCTGCAAAGACCAAAACTGGATCCTGTGCTCTTGACTACCCTAATCCTGGGCAAGGTGAGTGGAATTACCACTGTTATGGTATGTGCTCTCTGTAGCCGGGCCTGGGCATGGACCCTACCACCAGATAAACCCTCCCCAGAGAGGGTTTATGAACTTAGGCAGAACCAGCTGTTGAGCAGGCCAATGATTGCCACCCCTTTTTCACATTCTGGCATATACCATGGCATACACAGAAAGTGATAATCCGTTGTACGACACACAGGGATAAACTCAAGAGCTATGACTTGCCTGGGGCTGCTGCCTCAGCCTTGCTCAGCTGTTCCAAGGATGGGGGGAGGGGTTCACACCAGAGCACAGCTGTATTTTATTCACAGCACCTCACTTGGAAGGCTCTGAACCGGCAACCCACAGCATCTGCCAATGAGAGAAAAACATGTACTCAAACTAGGCAATCTATTGTTATAAGTAAGTACCAAGAGACAAGAGACAGTTTCTAAGCCAATGCTTGATGGTGGTAGTTCCAGCAAACTCTTCTCTGATGTCTTTGTGCCTTTGCACATGCTGTTTCCCGCTCTTGGTGTTTTCTTTAACACGATGTAATGGATAAGTGGAGTCAAATATATCTGGGTTCAAATCCTCTACCACCTGTAAACCCATCTAACATTGTTCAAAATAAAGTAACGTCTGTCAAGGGCCACTATCAAGTCTCTTTCAGACACCCAAGGACTGGAAAATTACTGATGACAACAAGTCTATTCTCAGAAAAAAACACATCCTATAGAAGCACAGCCAGCCTGGTGACAACTGTGGACCAGAATAGATATCAACCCATCCCCTCTTTCTTGCATCTTGCCCTTTAAGACTCAGTAAAAGACTCAAACGCCCACCCTTCAGGGTCAATGCCACTCTACGCGTTCGGCCCCTTTCCTCCCTAGGAAAGAGAATAAAAACTAACTTTTCTTCCCCTGTTAATATTTCGGTCAATTCTTTCACAACACGCGTCGGCTCACCTAACATCACCCATCAGCTCTGTAATATTGGTTAAATTAACTCCTCCGAGCCTGTTTTCCCAGCTGGAAAGTGTAATAGGTACTACGACTCATTTTAAAGGATTGTTTCTGAGTATTAAGTAGGACAATTATGTAAAGTGGCCAGAACAGTCCCTTGTACACAAAGTCCTCCTTAAATGTTAGGTCCGTCGGGCAAACTTCTACTCAAATGCCACTGCTCCTCTGAAGCTGCCCCTTATACATTTCGAGGGTGCTTCCTGATTTTACACCCCTGTTAAATCATTTAGCACCCTATCATCAGTTCTTTGCCCAACCCCTTCCCCAAAAGAACTCTAAAAGGCCAGTCACTGTCTCATACTTGGTCTCTCCTAAGGGTTGGCAAAATTCAGCTCCTGAGAGGTGTTCCAGAAGTTTTTTTGTTTCGGACGACTTCGCCTAACGGATTGGGCGGTAGGGCTGCGGGCGAGAGGGAGGGCACCGCCCACGGAGCAGAGGGGCGTGCCCGCCCCGGGTGCGCTCGCCAGATACTCCACGCGAGGCCTCCGCCGTAGCTCCGGATCCACCCGCAGATAGTGATGGGGCCTGCGCTCGCCCACCAGGCTGGGTAGAGTCCCGTTACCGGAACCCACGCCTGGAGGGGCGAGTTTCGGGAAGAGACAGGTTCAGGCGGCTGCGGCTGCCTCTGGGCGGGCGCCTGGGCCCAGGCCCGGGCTCCTCTCCCGACCGCGCCCCCGCCCCGCGCATCGCCCAGCACCCCGGTGCCCTCCCGACGCCAGCGGGCCCGGGAGCCTCGCGGACGTGACGCCGCTGGCGGAAGTGACGTTTTCCCGCGGTTGGACGCGGCGCTCGGTTGCCGGGCGGGGGAGGGCTCGTCCGGTTTTTCTCAGGGGACGTTCAAATTATTTTTGTAACGGGAGTCGGCAGAGGACGGGGCGTGCCCGACGTGCGCGCGTCCTCCCTCCCCGGCCCTCCTCCAGCGTCCGCCGGCGCCTGCCCTGCGAGGGCGTCATGCCGCCCAAGACCCCCCGTAGAGCAGCAGCCGCCGCCGCCGCCGCCGCCGCCGCGGAGCCCCCGCCGCCTCCCCCGCCGCCCCCTCCTGAGGAGGACCCCGAGCAGGATAGCGGCCCCGAGGACCTGCCTCTGGCCAGGTGAGCGAGCCGAGACGCCGCCGTGGGCGGCGCGCAGGAAGGGCGCCCGGAGGGTGCGTCGGCGGGCGCCGCGGCGTCTAGGCGGGGGCGCGTCTCCGCCGGGGACCGGGTCCCGGCGGGAGTAGGGACTCTCCCGGTGCCCCACCGCCGCGGAGCGCCCGGAGGAGGCTGACAGGAGTCTGGGTTCGGGAGCGAGGGGAGGGCGGCCGGGAGGGGTCTCGGCTCCAGCTTGACAGGTGTCGGGCGGGTGGGGCTCGGGTCGCTGAGCGAAATGACAGGTGCCGCCTTTCCTCCGCGAGACTGGAGTCTCGCAGGCGGCGGGTGATTTCGAGACCCCATCAAATGCAAAACGGAAAAAAACCCCCAAAAACTGGTGCCTGGTGGAGAGGTTTTTCTTCTGTTGAGGTTTGTAGTTCTCCGGTGGTCATTTGACTTTCTGTTTTGGTCTCCTGCGATGCAGCAGTTGGAAAGTATTTTCCTCTGGGCGTGCAGCTGCATCTGAAGCCCAGTCCTGGGAGAGGCCAGCCAGAAAAGCCTTGGACGCTGCTGCAGAGATGCCATCGGACGTGAAGCGCAGGGTCCTGGGTGTCAGTTGCCCCCAGGAAACTCGGCTGAGGTGCTTTATGGCGTTCCCTTAGACGAGTGCTTTCACTCTACAGCCATCGGTAGTGACTGGTGGAACATAACTCTTTAGAGGAACTGGTGCATGGGCAAAAATATTGTGAGACATTTAGCCCAAGAGCTTGAAAGTTTCTAAACTTTTTCTTTTTTCTCGTTGCATAAAACTCTTCTTTCATGTTAGTCTGCTTCAGCGTGCCTCATTATTTCTTCCATTTTGCGTTTTGGCTTTGAGCCAGCGAGGATCCTGGTGTCCTCCTTTTTTGTTTTGTTTGTTTGAGTACAAAATTAGTGTTTTTGTGCTCACATGGAATTATTTTTTTTTCTCCTAAGTGGATTCTAAATTTAAGCAAGTCCATGATAATGCAGCAGAATATGACAAGGAGATATATATTGCAGCAGCTTATTTTTCTTGATTGTGACGCTTTATGGTTAGAACCTAAGATTGAACGAATATAGTTGTCATTATTATTGTCAGCACTAGCCCTACTTTGAGACTACACATCAGTTTCAAGGGAGTGGGACTCCTTTCTGTCCCTCAGTACTCCCTCCTGCAGTTCTAGTCTATCAGCAAGTCCTATTTCTCTTGTCTCCCCAGACACTAACAGAATTCGGGACAAATTGTTAAAGATTGGAATGGGCTTTGGAAATGGCTTGTGAAAAGCTATTCGAAATGCATATATTTAGACTGTCTTACGTAGTAATCAAAAATCATTCTCGCTAGTTTAAAAAAAAAAAGCCCAGGGATGTTCTGGGAGAAGACATTCGTTTCTGATTAGACTGATATATACAGTACTTTCCAGTTTCCCTTTGTAAAGTGCAGTGAAGTCTACTGTAAAGAACCCCATGTTATCCACAGAGCTTGGAAGCATTCTTGATTTTTGTAGGGTAACCAGAAATATTGAAGTTCTGGCCATCACCTGGGAAAAGAGACTTTGTTTCTTTTATTTTGCAAAACTGTATTTTATATACCTTTAAATGATGGAACTATCAAAAATTCTCCTGTAAGTCAAAACCATGCAGTCTGTTCTTGATTATCTTTACCCATAAAATATTTCCTTAGCATGGGCTATCAAACTCTACAGGTTAACTACTTAACAAGGATAGAACCACTAACTGGCAATCTGAAGCCGAGAAACTTACTTGGGATGGATTCAGGGCCCAGTCCAACTGCATTTCCAGTGACAGAGCCCATGTCTACTTTGAGAGTTGAGGTCTTCCTTCTGCTGTATTATCTCTGGCTTAAGTGATAAAGTTGTAAGGGAAACCATCACTAGGAACAACACACCATCTTCATTCTTGAGATAACCAAAAGGTAATTTATGTTTCGAAGTAGGGTTGGCAGTCTGGAATAGTGGTCAGGGGCATGGATTATAGAGTTAGGTTATTGGGTTTATATCAGGGTTTCCCATTTACTGGCTGTGATCTCAGGTGAGTACTTTAACTTTTCTGATTTGGTACTTATCTGTAAAACAAGGATAATAAGAGTACTTACCTAATAGGGCTGATATGGGGTTCAGTCTACCTTCATCCAGGGTACTTTGTATGGGGCCATAGCAAATACTAAAAAACTGTAAGCTATGTCTTGTACTACTATTATTATTATTAGATGTCAAATAGACATTAAGTGAATGAAAAAGAATTAGGTAAGAAGAATTTTTTGACTGCCTGTCTTGGTTAAGAAAGATCAAGAAGAAAAGGCTGAATTTGGTCATCGTGTAAGAAATACTAGTAGGTAGATTAAATGAAACATTGATTGTATTTTAGCAAAGTTACTGATATTGAATTGATTTTGTAATATTATCTAAGGCTTTCCTCTTGGCTAGTATCATCCCAGCTTTCCCAAACAGTTTTAGCTATTGTACTTACTTTCCTTCACAAGGCTATTTTGCTGCTCTAAAGTATGTGATTCACCAGACCAGCAGACATTTTTCACTGTGTGGTATTCTTGTTTTGGAAAGACCGAAGAAGATAAACATATGTTTAAAGTCTAAGTGTAATTTTTTTAAAGATAAATAAGATCCTAAAGTATTTAGTGATGCTGTCTTTTAGGATAGTGCTATTATATGCAAAATATTGAAACAAATATTTAATTAATTTGATTGTAAGTATGTGCCTATTATATGTATATTTTCATTTGGTAGGCTTGAGTTTGAAGAAACTGAAGAACCTGATTTTACTGCATTATGTCAGAAATTAAGGATACCAGATCATGTCAGAGAAAGAGCTTGGTTAACTTGGGAGAAAGTTTCATCTGTGGATGGAGTCTTGGTAAGGATTGTCTTAAAATTTTTTGAAAATATTTTTCTAATTTTAAAAATAATTTTTAATCACTGTAGAAAATTTAGAAAATGGAAAATATAAAGCAAAGCTAGTAACAATTCTATAACCCCGAGGCAATTTACTTCTGATAACATTAAAAATTAAAAAAACCCCAAAACTCTCCATGTAGGCCCCCCACCAAAGTATTTTAAAGCAAATTTTAGGTATCATATTTTATTCATAAATACTTCACTCTGCTATAAAGACTTTTTAAAAAACAAAAAATGCCTCATAAAATGATTTTATACCTCATAAAATAATTTTTTATATCTTATAAAATAATTTTTAACATCTCATAATATATAGTGTCCAAATGTCCTGATTGCCTTAGAATTAGGTATGTTAGAATTCAGGATCTTTGATAATATTTTGAAATATTTCTTCCATTTTTTCTTTGCATCTGTATGTGTATACCACCAGCAAATAATTATTGATGCTTTATATGTGCTGGGGAATATTATAAACACTTTTCAAAGAACCCATTTGACAATCCATTAAGATGTGAAATATAAAATCTTTATTTTACATGTAAAATGTAAAACCTTCATTTTATAGATGAAGACACTGAAGTAGAGTGAGGTTAAGTAACTTAACCAAGGACCCTGACTAATAAGATCTAAAGCATACTGTATATAACTACATGTATGATCCCATACATGTAGTTATATGTAGTTACACGTAGTTACATATAGGTTTGTATCTTGTTTAAAAAATTTTTTTCTTAACATATGAGAATTTTCTTATGTTATTAAATATTGTTTGATATTTGATAATGTAGTTTCCAGTGGTAGTGTAATATTTTATTCATTATATGTATTTTAATTTGTTAACTCTTACTGTTATATGACAACTTTTTCCTCAACTTTGGAGCTGTAAAATAATGTGATTAAACATCCTTATTCGTAAGAATGATGCCTGGCAGAAAGTAAGTCTTTGATAACTTGTTAAATAAATTCGTGAATCAATCTCTGATTATTAGAATACATTCTTACAAGTTGAATTACTGAGTCAAAAGCTATGAACATGTATAAAACTCTTGGTAATTATTGCTAAATTGCACTCCAGACACTTTTAATGAGTTTACTTTCTCATCAGCATTGTAGTAGAGTACATGTATGTCTTTTTTTACTGATCAGATCAACGCAACAAAATATGCTTATGTACATCCCATAAAAATAACTATTTAAGACCATTAAAAAAAATCTCTGATGTCTTAGTCTATTTGGACTATTATAACAAATACCATAAACTGGGTGGCTTATAAACAATAGAAATTTATTTCACAGTTCTGGAGGCTGGGAAGTCCAAGATCATGGTGCTGGCAGATTCTTTGTCTGGTGAGGGCCCACTTGTTCATAGATAGTGCGTTGTCACTGGCTTCACTTGGCAGAGTGGGTGGGAGCTTTTACTGGATTCTTTTATAAGGGCACCAATTCCATTCATGAGGGCTCTGCCCTCCTGACCTAATCACTCCTGAAGGCCTCATCCCCTAATAATGTCACATTGGGTATTAGGGTTTCAGCATATGAATTTTGGGGGGACACAAGCATTCAGTCCATAGTACCTGGTAATAAAAAAAAGGAGAAAACAAATCTCACAGTTCCAAAGATCTGAACATATTCTAGAACTCCATACTAAAAAGGAATACTTGAAGTATCTTGGATGAATGATATTATTGGTATCATCCCAAAGGACCTAATGTATATTTCCATTGATTTGGGTACTTCATGTACAGAGCTGTTTCTGTGTATGCCGTTAAAGAGTCCTTCACTTCTCTCTCTTCCATAAATACTAGGCTTTTAGTTTTCAGAAAGTTGAGAAGGGGTAGTTGATTGTAGAGAGTTGATTGTAGAGCATTTGGTGAGTAGTTTCCAACTTTTAAGCTGGTTGTGTTCCAAATCTCTTTGCAAGTACAATATGGTAGTTAGATTTCCAGGCTGGTTCGCAGAAAACTTTTTTTTTTTTTTTAACTGAACTGTAGCAGTTAATAGTTTTTGGCTTCAGACTTGATTATATATATATATATATATATATATATATATATATATATATATATGTATGTATATATAAAAGCAGTAACATTTCTTCATATATATATGAAGAAATGTTACTGCTTTTGTATCCTACCCTTTTCTCCTCCTGGCTTTGTCCCTGCTTTCTACGGGAACTGGCACAGTTTAAAACTCATCTCCTGATGGAGCTCATGACGGGGACTAGGGCATGTGCAGTCATTCCTGGTTGTGTGCTGAGGAAGACAAGAAAGGAATTTCATGTTGCCTTTGGGATTTGGGGTACCTTTTTGTTGGGTACGACTGGATGATGTTGTATTGTCCTGTTATAATTCACCAGACTTTTACGTAGAAATATTATTTTAAGTGATAGTTAAGTTTTTGAGGGTTGACCTGATAATTTAAGCTTCATTTATACAGTAATTTCTAAGGGAGAATATGAGTCAGTGTGTGCTGAGAAGCAAATGAATGACAAAATGAACCTGTTTCCTATGCAGCCATTCTAGTTGCAATTGGCTATCTTCTTTGAAACAAGAAGAGGAATGTGGTAACTTAGGGCACTTTTTGGCAACTGAAAATAGATAATGTTTATTGGAATAGAGGAGGGGTTAAGAGCAAGGATTTGTCATCAGACTGGACTGACTCAAGTCTCAGGTCTACCATTTACTGGCTCTGTGATCTCGAAAAGTTACCTAAAATCTCCAAGCCTCAGTTTTTTTATTCGTAAAGGGAACTAACAATGATTTTTGGAACTTGGAGTTATTTTGTGGATTAAATAAATTCATGCATATAAAGCACTTATTAGTGTAAATGAGTGCCTATATTAGGTCATGCAAGAGGAATTATTTGACTTAAGAACTACTGCAGAAAATCTTACATTAATATTTTTTTAGGAGAATTTAAGAATCAGTCAAAATGGTTGAAGTTTTAAATGGGTGTATAGTGATTCTGATGCAGTATTTTTGCTAAAATCCACATTTTTAAGTTCTTCAGAGTAAAAAAAGTTGTTTATGCATACATGAAAGCATACATTAATTCTTTTAAAGGAAAGGTTTGTGGTATTTTGTCTAGAAATTTCTCCTTGTATAAATGTTTAGTAAGTATGTAATGGTGATTGCTGTTGTAAGATTAGATTGTGTTCATGCTGCTTATACCACATGAATAAAATAAGGAACTTTCCATCAAGAAATTGGCCAGGAATGCTTTTCATACTGTGACTTATGGTGAATCAGTTGTTGGAATTTTGGTTTTCTTTCTGTGTCTTAAATGACAGTGTGGTAGAATAGAAAAGACCTTGGACCTCAGAGCAAAAAACTTTGTAGTTGTAATGTAGCTATATGATTTTAGGCAAATTGGTTAATTCTCCAGTCTCTGCTCATCTGTCAAGCAGAAATGATGTCTGAATGTCAGTTTCTTAGGGCTTTGCATGTGTGTGTGTGTGTGTGTGTGTGTGTGTGTGTGTGTGTGTGTGTTTGTATATGTTTTTTGTGTGTATATATTCAAGTGCTTTGAAATACATTGCCCTTGTTAGAGGCATTTTTATAGGTCATTATATTTAGAAAGATAATTGAAAAAAATAGTTTGGAATTGGAGTATTACTAGGCATTCCATTTAAGCTATACTGCAGAAATATAAAGGGGTTTCTTACTAACCTTAGAAAGCAGAATATCTATTTTAAGAGTATGTGTAGTGAAAGGTCTCTTTACCTGTAGTTTTCTAGTCCTTAGTAATATATGTACCCTTTCTGTTTGGCGATGGTGCTGGTATCCTGATTGTATGTGGATGTTGCTGAGCCAAATGCACTTCAGAACATGTACGTGAACGTTATATTTGTATTACAGTTGTAGGATATTTGCAGCTTCTTTTATTTCTGTTTCCAATCCTCAGATTAATTTTTTAAAACATTTTGTTACGGAGAATTGCGGATATTTATAAAAGTAGATAGAGAAAATAGTATGACTTCTCATATACCTCTTAACCAGCTTCAGCAGTTATCAGTCATAGCCAAACTCTATTTCTCCCTGACCCCAGATTATTTTAAAGTATCCCAGATATGATGTTTCATCTGTACATATTTCAGTATGTATGGGGAAAAAAATAAGAACTCTTAAAAAAATGACCACAGTTCATCACACCTGACAAAATTAATGAAAATTCCTTAATATCAAGTGTCCAGTGTTCAAATTTTCTTGATTGTTTCATATGTTCTTTTTTTTTTCAGTATGTTCTAATGAGGATTTAAATAAGGTCCATACAGTATGATTGGTTGACTTGTGTCTTAAATCTTTTAATCTGTTGGTTTCACGTCTTCCTTCCCTCCCCCTTTTCCTTTCTTTTCTTTTCTTTTTTTTTTTTTCAATTTGTTTGTTGAAGAAACTGGATTGTTTATCCTGTGGAATTTCCTACTGTGTGTATTTTACAGATTGTACCTCCTTCGTTGTTTAACATATTTGCTAATTCTCTGTGTTTCCTAGAAATGGATCTAGAGGCCTGATCAGATCCTGGTTTGATATTTTCCAGAAGAAATACTTCAGAGATGTTGTTGTGTATGACTGTTAGTAGACACATAATGTCTTGTTATCTCTCTCTCTTTTTTTTTCTTTTTTTGATGTAAGCTATTATTGATGACCATTGACTAGATCCATCAGGGGTTGCTAAATGGTGAACTGATAACTTTATCATTCCGTTTTCAATTATTAGTTATAATTCTTCTGTAAATGGAAACTTTCCTCCATCAATTTTTCTTATTCTGAAGTACAGATTATTCAGGAAAGGTAGGATAAGTGCTTTAGTCTTTGCTTTTATTGACTAGTTTTCAAGCTGATGAGTTTGTTTTGTAACATTCTGTAAAGGTGACCAATGATTATAATCATCTTTTCAAGTATTATCTTGAGAGTACCAATAGCCCAGTTTGACTGTACATAGACATTTAATAAGATC